GTGACTGCTATTTCTTGACTGACATGTTGAGCAATTGCTAATGGATGCGCAGAACTTACACATCTGAAGTTAGTGGTTGCACCATATTGGGAACTATCGGAATTGAGTCCATTGGAAGATCTTGCCCGTATGTTTCTTCCGGTATCTTTGTTTAAATGGGTAGCATTGTTCTGATTTTTTTGGGGAGCAGATATTTCTACTGTCCCTACTTTTTCTCTTTGTTAATTCAAAGGCCTATTTATTTTTCTTTTATGCCCTGGTATATTACGAGCGACATATAACTTCCGTTAACCTTTTCTTTTTATGATATTAAGTGATTCACTTGTTGCCTGTGGCAAATATTTATGTGCTCTGTCTAGTTCCCATAATTTCGATTACATATTCATTGACAGGATTTCATTTGTATGCAGGCACCTAACTGAATTATTTTTGATGTATTATCAAAGAGTTGGCAGTCCTGCTTTTCTTGAAATTGGGAGAGGCTGTAAATTCTTGCAAGCCCTTCACTTGGTCGATTGTGCCAGTATTGGAGATGATGCCATCTGTAGCATAGCTGAAGGCTGCAGAAATCTGAAGAAACTTCACGTTCGCCGTTGTTACGAGGTCTCTCTCTCTCTCTCTCTCTCTCTCTCTCTCTCTCTCTCTCTCTCTCTCTCTCTCTCTCTCTCTCTCTCTCTCTCTCTCTCTCTCCCTCCTGACCCCCGGGTGTTATTGTAGATTTTCATATATCTCTTTTTTTGGTTTTTAATAGATTGGAAACAAGGGAATTATAGCTGTTGGGGAATATTGTAAGTCTCTCACAGAGCTCAGCCTTCGTTTTTGTGATAGGTAAGCCTTATTCATGGTACTATTTTTCCCAACTCGTTCTGGAGTTGCTCGTCAGAAGTGCACTTAAGTTGCCACTGTTGCTTCAAAACTTGATTTTGATGTTAACTGGTCTTTACATGATCTTTTGTTGATTGATTGTCAACTTCACCTCGAAGTCCCTGGTTCAAAGGTTTGAACACAAAGAAAACTAGATTGTAGAACTACGGTGAAAGCTAAATCTATGTTGGCGGAGTTGTGCTGCCTGTGTGATTCCTATAATTACTATACAAGCTCAATGAACTTTTTTGGAACTACTTTTTCGCCTTCTATTTTGTCTTTTGTTCTTTCAATAAAATTGATATGAAATGCTTGATATGATTCCTTGCTATGTCCACACAGCTCCAATAAATATTTCTTTGAATCTTGCAACCTCCCCTTCCTCCATTAGCGGATGATTTTGTAGCCTCAAGACAAAACATGGATGAACGATGTTAAAAATAACATTTTTTTTTGTCTGTCTTAACTTTTTGTTCAATAGGGTGGGGGATGAAGCCCTTATTGCCATTGGTAAGGGCTGCCCCTTACAGCACCTAAATATCAGCGGCTGCCATCAAGTTAGTGATGCTGGAATAATTGCTATTGCAAGGGGTTGCCCTCAGCTCAGTTACCTAGATATAAGTGTTCTTCAGGTTTGTAATCTTCCTCATCTCTTTCGTTCTTGTACTTTCCTGTTTAGTTATACCTTTTAAAGAAGTCATTTATAGGATCATTATGGTGAATTCTTGTTTCAACTACCTATCTAAAGCTTTAAATGGGAGTTTAATGCATAAGTTATGTTTCTTTCGTTTTTTGTGTGAACCAAAAATGCTTGTGGATCTGTGACATCCTTACTGGGGATTGTATTCCAGATGGAAAAATATAGATTTCTTGATACTTTCTGATGAATAAATGAATAAACGGATTGGGATAAGTCCATCCTTATAATATCTAGAAATAGTTTCCTAATGATGGATCTTCTGATTTAGTAGCAAGCAATGAAAATTGTTCCTGTCAACAACAAGAATATTATAGTTGGTTTGAACTCCATGAAAAAAGAGCCTCACCTGAAGACATTACTCCATATTACTTGGCTCCTACCAACTATTACAAAAGTTTGGCTACTGTTCCTTCTGCAGATTTTGTCATTCTTAATTAGTT